ATCAAATTGTCATCAGTAGGGATGAAATTATGTAAAATCCGTCAAACAAAAATAAAAATCGTTAAAGGAATATTTTGATTCCATAGCATTTTGAATATATTAGAAGCGTCTTTCATAGTTCTAAAGGAATTTCAGGCACCCTTTAAAGAAAATTTACCATCTCTAGTTAAGGCACAAATCTGAATATCAAGAGAGTTCATATTTAAAGGGAATTGCAAAATTTGGTGAACAATAAAATTAGTTAACACATAAGAGAGTTTCTAAATATCTCAACCATTACCCGTGAAAAAAAAAATAACCTTCATAGAAGCATTGGAAGAAATATTAAAAAAAAAATAAATGAAATGGCCACCCAACCAACGATCCTGCCAAAAGAAAATATTACCACTACCCAGACCCCAACAGAAAGACGGCTCAACTGCCCATTTCACTTTGCAAAGATGCTACCAAACTTTAGAGTTACATTTACTAAAATAACACATCATCAGCATTCAACAAATCCAACAAGTCAGATTCATTCAATCATAGATAATCATACTGATCTAACACATCTTTAGTGCTATACGATACATGTGATAGTAACTATTAGATGACTTAAATTTGATTAGTATAATCCATTAATATCAATCATACTATAAGAACACCTATTTATATATGGTGATCCATTTGGTCAGTGATCGTACCGTAGACCCCTCAGGATGAACGCTTTTACAAGAATTATATAGTATGATTTTGATCGTATTATACAATTTGACCACCTTTTTGAACTATTCGACCATGATAAATTAACTTCTTATAATCAAACTATACGATGTTAACCATATTATATGATGATTGAGTCCTATTTAAGAAAGGGGGAGTCTAATGGTTCAAGCATAACAAATTCTTATCCTATCCTTGCAACCCTTCCTTAGTGACTTAGTGTCAAGATAACTAGAGGAAAATACTCTAGAGCTCTTTTTTATTAGCTATTCCCAATTCTATGTAGATGATAGGTTCCTAGAGGTAACATATGAAGAAATCTATCATAGATATAAGGCTACTATGATTTTCTACTCCATAGCTTATTTCACTTACTTTATAGTAACAGACATCGTGAGGTATGTTATGCACTAAAGCCCAAGAAAAAGGAGGCAGGTATAGCACAGGAACCAGTATAGGCACTAGCATTAGCTTACTAGCCATAGTGATATGATGCTTTATTCGAGCATTTTGATTGACTAGAGAAGTGCTTGGAGACACATTCAGGATTCAACCACTTGTTGGGACCAGATTCAAAACCAATTACAATAGCAATAATAGGATATCTAGCAACAACACGAGGCTGGTTGTGCTTGGTTTAGTGATTAGTTTGCCTCACTTCACCATTACTTCTAGTTACCTTCACCACCACACAATTACAGACCTTCATATGAATAGTGTGTAATGTGCGGTGTAGTTTTTCTATTTGTAATTTGTTTATATTTTGTGCACTTTGCATTATAGTACTATTTTATATTAGTGTCAATTTTATAATTCTCCTTTTTGGTGATGGGAGATTAGGATGTTGTTGGTCTATACTAGGTATTTTCATTACTTAATATTTTTTACTGCTTACTATGTTGTTATTGATTATTGTAATTATATTATGTTATTATTTTAAAAATTAAAATAAAATAAAAATAATTATAATAATTATAATAGTAATAGTAATAATAGTAATAATAATAATAATAATAATAATAA